GACTTCCCACCTCCAGTCAGAACAAAATACAAATAGTAACACCCCCTTCCTCTAAAGAAAGAAAAGGACCCTGCCATTGTATCTCAGATTGGGAGAGGGAAAGGCATTTTCATTAGCAATTTTTGGTTCTGGTATTTATGTAGTGGGGTCTTAATGACATTTGATTGGGTGTATAGTATCAGGCCAGCCCTCAGGTGGGTTTCCTTTGCTTTCACAGAGTGAATGCATTGTGGAAATGGTAAAGTAAGTAGTCATGACTAGTTAGTGGCTTCTAACTAGTGTTCTGTGAAATACTCTGCCCGGAGTGCTCAGTTCAGTAAACATCCTGAGCACTTGGATGTGTGACACCATGTGAGGGGCAAGAAGCTGAGAGGATCTCTAGGGAGACTGTGGCTTTCATGATTGTCCAGTAGGCAGTAGCTCACCAGCCAGCACAGGAGGCCCTCAGTCGGCTAGAGATTCAGGATGGTTTTGCTCCCTGATCTAGTCTTTGAGCATCTGCTGTTGTGTCCTACTACAGCATCACTTCCCAGGAGGAGATTTTGTCAGTGTAGTTCACTACTGTGCCTTTCATGCTTAGAGGATGCCAGATGCTTCTTGCCTAATGCATGCTTGAAGCCCTCATATCCTCTTGGAGTGTGTGTGTGTGTGTGTCTGTGTGTCTGTGTGCGTGCATGTGTGTGTGTGTCTGTGTGTGTGTGCGTGTGTGTGTGTAAGTAAGCCTTTCTCCCTCTGGATTGGTGACAGTGTTGTTAAGGTTATAAATCAGAAATGCCTAGCACACTGCTTGACTCATTGTAAGTACTCAGTAAATGGTGGCTACACAATCCAGGCCTGCTGGCATTGTTGCCACTGTCGCCACTCTGACTCTTTTGAGCCAATAGGTGAAGTGGGTCTCCACTCCCTTGAGTCAGGTGGACAGGGTGCCTTTCTCAAGGACAGGTACGAGGGCTGAGATGGCCGGGAAGGTGTACTCGTCCTTCCAGGCCTGCCTCCCATAGGTCTTCTGTGGGCCCTGCAGTTGGCCTGCTCTGACTCTTAGTTTTTGCTTCCCTCTTGACCCATTCAGGCCTGGTAGAAAGAGTTATCTGTGAGCATGGCGGAGGGTCCCGATAATCCATTATGGTTTTAGTGTCTAGGACTGTCATGACAGTGACTCATCTCTTTAGCCCCCGTTTGCAGCGAGGGCCCAGCCCAGCCCAAAGCAGGCACCCAGATGTTTGGTGAATTGGGGCAAGTTTTTCCTGTCCAGGAGCCATAATGTAGTATCTGTAGTTTTCCTCATTGGATGGCATGGCTCTGTCTGCCAAGAAAGACAAGGCATGTAGTCACCATGCTGCTGCCTCACATTGATATTTATAAAGCCAGGTCTTCTGGAGAAGGAAGCAGGAAGGAAGGCGACTTGCTTTTGGGCCCATAGAGTTTCAGTAGTTGTGGGAAGTTGGCTGGGCTGTGTGTGTGTTGCTGCACTGGTGCCTGGTCTTCTTTGATAGCTCTCAGGAGCATGAGGTTGTGCTTAGCAGTTATGTCCCATCAGTCCTCTTGGTCTCGATCAGTTCACATGCTCCCAGGGGCCCATGTATCAGAAGGGCTGCTGTTGCATGATGCTGTCCATGGAAATCACTGCAGTCATGAGAGGAGCAGTGGCTTCGGCCTGTAGACTCAGAGACCTTTCACTATGACTCAGCATGGGAAGCTGAAGCTCAGAGAACTTCAGCCTGTCTCATCCAGGGCCACCAAGGGAACAATTGGGCCATGTCTTCTGTTGTATTTAGAGTTGGAGGCTGAGGAGAGGTGCCTGTCTGCCTTCTCTGCTGGTCCTGGGTCTACCTGTTGCAGGGACCCAGTTCTAAGGGACCTGAATCAATTCAATCTACTGCCTCAGCCTTTCAGAGGCTTCTCATTGCTTTAGGCCAAAGGCTGTGCTGCTGAACATGGCCTTCAGGGTCCCATGGGGTCTGACCCCTGTCATTTCCTCTGTTGCAGGCCCACTTGACTTCTTTCACTTCTTCAGATATATCATCTTCCCATCAGGCCCTGCCTCAGTCCCTTTGCAGGGGGGGCTCTCTCTTCTCTGGTTACTTCTGTTCATTCTTCAGAGAAGCCTTCCCTGTACCTCCCACTCCTCACTGCCGTGCTTCTCCTTCACAGCCCTTACCGCTGCCTGTAGTTACTGTATTTCTTTGTGTACTCATCTGTGGTCCAGCTCCCTTGCAAGACTGGGAGCTCCATGGGGCAGGGACCCTGGCTGTCTTGTCTCTGGTTTACCCCAGCGCCTCATGCAGCCTGGCACATGGTGGGTGTCCAGCATCAACTTGAGGAAGAGTGATGAGGGAAGGCTCCAGACCCTTCCAGGAGCAGAGTTGCTCTACTGCTCCTGCTCCTGCTGCCTGGGGCTCATCGTCCTCTGCCCTGCACACCCGTGGCAGGGGGGTCTGCCCACACCCACCTGCCTTTGTGCCACACTCCCTTCCCTAGCAAGACGATGGTTCCTCTCAGCACTGTCTTTTTTGTTTGGCCTCCTGATGAGAGGTGAAGCCAGCTGGACTTCCTGGGTCGAGTGGGGACTTGGAGAACTTTTCTGTCTAGCTAGAGGATTGTAAATGCACCAATCAGTGCTCTGTGTCTAGCTACAGTATTGTAAATGCACCAATCAGCACTCTGTAAAAACGCACCAATCAGTGCTCTGTGTCTAGCTAAAGGATTGTAAAGGCACCAATCAGCACTCTGCAAAATGGATCAATCAGCACTCTGTAAAATGAACCAATCAGCACTCTGTAAAATGGACCAATCAGCAGGACGTGGGTGGGGACGAATAAGGGAATAAAAGCTGGCCACCCCAGCCAGCAGTGGCAACCTGCTCGGGTTCCCTTCCACGCTGTGGAAGCTTTGTTCTTTCACTTTTCACAATAAATCTTGCTGTTGCTCACTGTTTGGGTCCGTGCCACCTTTAAGAGCTGTAACACGCACTGCAAAGGTTTGTGGCTTCCTTCTTGAAGTCAGTGAGACTAAGAACCCAGCGAAAGGAACCAATTCTGGACACACTGGGAAAGACGTTACCTTCGGACACAGTGTTGTTCACTTTTTTGACTGGGATCAGACAGCAGATAATACACATATTTGTATGTAAATGTATACTGTCAGTGTGTACATAAAACCGAAAGAAAATGTCACTACTACATATAGTAAAGCTAAGTACTATTTTCTCTTTTAATACTAAAGAAAATGCTTGTCCCCTCAAAATTGATTTCATATCTTCTTAATTTGATATCCCTGGCTACCAGTGGGTTACCACTCAAGTTTAGAGAAGCCCATTCTGCAGGACTGCTTGGCTGTGCAGCTGGTGCTCCCTCCATCCCTGCTGCGTCTTCCTCTCCCTGCCACTGTGGGATGGGGCTGAGGTTGTTCCCTTGGGTAAGAGGCTGTCCCTCCCTGCCTTCAGCAGTTTGAAGGATTCTCAGGAAGACAGGCAGGCAAGGCCTGTGAGTCCTCTGCCTCAGGTGCCATAGGGTGCAGTTCAGGGCTGCACCCGGCATGTCACAGCCTCCCTGGGTGCACCAGGAAGAAATCACTTATTCTTTGTGGTATGGGTTTTGGAAGAGGCTAGTGATGGTTTTGCTGTGAAGATGAGTTTTGACTTAAAGGGCTTGAGAGATGGAGAGGGATTGGCCAAAGGGAAATGCAAGTTCAAAGACACCCGTGCAGAGGCAAGGAAGTCAGAACAGGGTGTGTCTCACAAGTGGCGTGGGTTCTCCTGCCGGGTGCATAGGGTGCTTAAGGGGGTGAGGATAGAAGAGGAGCTGAGGAGGCCAGGGAGTCCAGGGTGAAGGGATAGGGGTGTCTGCCCTTTGGGCAGTAGGGAACCAGTAGAGCTGTACCTATCTGAAAGTTCTACAACAAGAGTATTGTTTCTTAGATGTTTGGTTTATTTGAGGCCGTGCATGTTTTATTAGGTGTTTGCTCCAATGTGTTAGAATTGGAAGGATGATGTACTCATCTGTCCAGGTAAATGTCTAGAGTATTTTGGAAAGGATCTTTCTGATGACACCCTCCCAGATCCTCAGGATCAAAAGACATCATATGAGAAGTAAACATATTCTAACTTTGGACATTAATGCTCCAAACTCGAATGCCAACTGAAGCCTGGACCACAGCAGAAAGCAGCCTCGCAAAGTCCTTGGTTTGAAGGGCAATAGCTTATTAGAGAGTGGTTGTATTAATTTGCTCTGACTGCTGTAACAAGTTACCATAAACTTGATGGCTTAAAACAACACATATTTATTCTCTGATAGTTTGGGAGTCCAGAAGTTCAAAATCAGCTTCACTAGGCCTAAGTTCAAGTGTCGACAGGACTGGTTTCTTTGGAGGCTCCAAGGCAGAGTCGGTTCCCGGCCTCTTCCAGCTTCTGGTGGCTGTTGGCATTCCTTGGCCTACGGCTGGCTTGCTGTAATCTCTGCTTCCCTGGCCACATCGCCATCTCCTCTTCTGCAGTTGAATCTAGGCCCACTCCTGAGATAACAGCGTTAATCTATTCATGAGGACTGAGCCTTCATGGGCTAATCACCTCTTAATGGTTCCACCTCTTAATACTGTCACAATGACAATTACATTTCAACATGAGCTTTGGAGGGGATGTTCAAACGTCCATAGCAAGTGACCTCTGGCTTGCAGGCCTGCCACCTGACAGGTTCCCTATTTGGCCTGCCTTCTTAGTTGTGTCTTTGTATTTCATTGTAAAAGGCATGCATGTGTATAAAAAGAAAAATCAGCCATTGCTGAGGGGTGCGCAATTAAAAGTGAAAGTCCTTCTAAGTCCACTTCCCAGAAGTCACCACTAGAACTGAAACTGGTTATGTATGCACCCTGAAATTTGCTCAGTGTATATGTGATCTACACAGAGGGATCATGCAGTATCCACTGTTTTAGTGTGTAGCTATTTCAGTGACTTAGAATTCCACTCACTCTTCCCTCAAACATGGTTTCTCTATATTTACCATGTCATGAGGCCCACTTGCGCCAAAGCTGTGCTCTTACCTGCAGGTGAGTCAGGAGGGGTTAGCAATGGTGGGGAGTGTAGGGCCACTTGCCATGCCCCTTTGAGCTGGGACATTTTATTAGGCACTGATCTGGAATGTCTTAACTTGTTAGTCTTTATTAGAGCTCTTGTTCTAACAGAGTTCAGCTATATGAATGTGCCCTAATTTAACCAGTTTCCTAGCCATGGACATCTGCTTGTTTCTACTTTTTTGTCATTTCAGATAGCATTTTTCTGGTATCCTTGTGTGTGTGTGTGTGTGTGTGTGTGTGTGTGTGTGTATATATATATATATCTGGGTCCTTGTGAGAGTATATTTGAGGAATTAATTTGTGGAGGAGGAAATACTGAGTCAACTTTATTGGGATGGCTACAGAGGAACCCCCCGCAACCACCTCCTCCCTGCACCCCCAACCTTTGTTTCCCTCAACAGGGCTTGTAGTCTGGAGGAAGGAAGGGAGCTGGCAGCAGTGGTAGCCTGCCTCCCTCCTATGCACAAAGTCCCGGCAAGTGCAAACCCTCTGCTTCGGCCGTGGCATCCCACTGCTGAAGAGGTTGTAGTGTTGCCTAAAACGTGGCTGTGCAGGCAGTTTGTGGAGGGGTTAACTCAGAAGAGATTTGATGGAACATTTCCCAACAATTCTGTCAACTCATAAATTCTAGCTGGTTAACAGAATTCAAACGCGTGTCAAAAAAATGCATGTCAAAAAAATGATAACTGTTTTAGTTAAGACATTTTTAAACTGTTCCGACTTCCATCTGAAATATGTAAGCTTAGAAAGTGGTTTTCTTAATGATGACACAGATCGCTGGTATTTGTTTAAGAAAAGCTCCGGCTGAACACAGCCCCTACCAAGGTGCTCTTTTGCTGGTTGGTGGCACTTTCCACTTCAGAGCAGCTGAGTGTTTATAGGTGGGCACCAGGCACAATGCCTGGGAGAACACAGAAGGCCTCTCAAAGATCTGTCAAATGAGATTGGGATCTTTAACCAGCAGGTACTGCCATAGAACAGACTCTAACACCAGCTTCAAAACACCCTCCATTTAAACCAGCTGTGAGCTCCGCAGTACAGTGCACAGGCAGGACACATGCTTACCACCGAGGCCTCTGTGGACCAGAGCAGACAGGGTGAGTGTGTCTGAAAAGTCTGCCCCCTAATGACCTCCCTGTTGCACAGTCCCGGAATTGGGTTTCACCACATAAGAGCAAAAACAGGAATTGGCTATATAGTGTTTCAGCTTTAGGAGGCTTTCACTTTGAGCCTGATTCCATTTCTCTGTTACCCAGGGCTTGGCAAGTGGCACCGCACCCCGAGCAAGGCTGTCCCTCAGCTGCAGGTTAGAGCACAGCTTTGTGTGAGTCGGCTTGTGACAGGCTGGAAACACAGAACCATGGTGGGAGGAAGGAGTGTGTGTGGCAGTTCTAAGTCATTGAAATTGCTGTTCTTTCTCCGCAGGCCACGTGGGGTGTCCCTGCTCTTACTCCTCTTTCCTGCATTCATCCTTTAGGAACCAGAGCTAAGGAGCACCATTTGATGGCTAAGGCAAATGGCAAGGAGAATTGAATTCCTAAAATTGATGGTGGTAGTAGTGGCATACCACCTAAGAGAAGGCTGTTGTGAGATCCTTGCCATAGGCAGGGCCACTGAAACGTCATGGTACACTGAGTCCAGTGGTGTGTCAAAAAAAAAACGAGGAAAAGTATAGCAAGCATTTGTGAGAATTTTCTTCCTGAGCAGCTGTTTTGAAATAGCTTTCTCTAAACTTTTATAATTTTTTAATAATTTTTATAAAATCAGACTTTATACAGTATCTTGCTCATTGGGTTACATGGGAATTGACTAGAATCCTTTTATGCAGTTTTCTATGAAAATGTGTGGCACAATGCCAGGCTCTGGAAGAGACTTAGGAAATAAATAGCACGTGCAAGATGCTTTACGTTGTTGACCAGCTCCCTCTTGGTCCTAAGTAAATAAGCTATGAGAAAGTGAATATGAGTTCTAAACAGTGACTCTTTGTTAAAGCGGTTAGCAAAAGGTTATACATTCACATGTTGTAACAGTGTGATGAGAACATAAGTGTGTTACATAACTTCTCTGCATTCTTCTGAGTGTTTAAAGTACAAGTAAAAAGGAAAAACGATATGCTTTAAAAAACACATTGAGGGGCACGACGCGGTGGCTCATGCCTATAATCCCAGCACTTTGGGAGGCCAAGGCAGGAGGATCATGAGGTCAGGAGTTTGAGACCAGCCTGGCCAACATGGCGAAACCCCGTCTCTACTAGAAATACAAAAATTAGCAGGCGCCTGTAATCCCAGCTACTGGGGAGGCTGAGGCTGGAGAATCACTTGAACCTAGGAGGTGGAGGTTGCAGTGAGCCAAGATCGCACCATTTCACTCCAACCTGGGCAACAAGCCTGAAACTCCATCTCAAAAAGAAAAAAAAAATTGAGAAATTACTATTTTACATGAGAATATCATCTGCCTGATTCAAACTAGAGATGAAACCACCTTTTCCCTCCTTACCTTTAATCTTCCTCAGAAAACACCACATTATACATTTCTTCCTCTTCCGTATTTATTTGCATGTTTATTTTAATAACTTCATTGAGGTATAATTTACCTCCAGTAAGTTCACTTATTTTAGGTGAATACGCTGATGAATTTTAGAAATTATACAGAGTGATGTAAACACCTCCATAATCAAGATAAGTAGGACATTTCCATCACCTTTAAAAATGCCTTCACGCTCTTTTGCAGTTGATCCCTTCCCTTAATCCCCAGCCCTGGGCAACCTCTGATCTGGTTTCTGTCACTATAGCTTTGTGTCACTACAAAAAATTTTATATAAATGGAATCCTACTCTGTGTAGTCTCCTGTGTGTTTTCTTTCACTTAACCTTTTGGAGACTTATTTGTATTGTTTGGTGTTTTCATATTTCATCTCTTTTATTGCTGAGTAGCATTCAATAAGTATGGCTCTATGAAGTAAGAGAATATAAGCATATGTGTATATGTAGGTGGTTCATGTGAGCATGTTCTCTTCCTCACCACTCCACTTACTGACTGCTCAAATGAATTAATTTAAGATGGCTCTTCATCTTTTGACAGTTTAACTTTTAAAATTTGACTATTCCTTTATTTCTTTTGCAAGTGAAGGTTATACTTACAACTTTAAATATTATTTATATTAAGCAATTTAGTTATCATGTGCCTTGATACCGTTTTCTTCATGATTCTTGTGCTTGAAGTTTGTTGAGCTTCTTTGATCTGTAAGTTTCTAGTTTTCATCAAATTTGGAAAATTTTTTGGTCATTATTTCTTCACATACTTTTATTCCATTTCCTCCCTTTCTGCTCTCCTTCAGTGACTAGCTCGTTGGTCTATCCTTCCTTCCTTCCTTCCCTTGTTTCTTTTGTCTTTTTTCTGTTTCATTTTAGGTCATTTCTATTGCAGGGTCATCAAATTCACTAGTCTTTCCTTCTACAATGTCTAGTCTGCTCTTATTCCCATTTAGCATATTTTTCACCACAGGCATTATAGTTTTATCTTTGGAAATTTGATTTAAATCTGTTGTTTAAAAAATCTTCCATGTCTCTTAAGATGTTCATTCTTTTTTTCTAGCTCCGAGAACATGAAGAATACAGTTAGAACTTTTAGAGTCCCTGTCTGCTAATGTTATCATTTGTTGTTTCTGGCCTGTTTCTGTTGACTGATTTTTCTCCTCATTATGTGTTGTACTTCTCACTTCTCACATGCCTGGTCATTTTTAAAATTGGATACCAACTATTGTGAATTTTACCTTTTTGTGTGCTGGATTTTTTGGTATTGCTATAAATATCCTTGAGCTTTGTTCTTGGATGTATTAAGTTACTCAGAAACAGTTTGATCCTTTTGAAGTTTGCTTTTAAGCTTTACTAGGTAAGATGAGAGCAGGCGTTAGGGATGCTGTCGGTAGCCTTTCTGAGTACTCTTCCTGATGCCCTGTGAATTATGAGGTTTTCCACTCTGACTGGTGAGATTAGGCACTATGTCCGGTCCTGTGTGAGGCTCTGGGATTGTTTCCTTTGCTTCTCTCACGGGGTTCTTTCCCTGTTCTCAGTTTTCTCACATGCAAGTCCTGATCAGTACTCAGTTGAAGATTTGGGGGACCATCTAAGATCTCTGCAACACTACCTCTGTGCAGCCCCCATCTCTTTATTACCCTGCTCTGTGAGCTGCAACTGCCTTGAGACTCCCCAGTCTATCTTCTCAGCTCGAAGAGATGCTAGGCTCCTCCTGGGTGCCCCTTGCCTGCACCCCGGCCTGGAAACTGTCCCCGGGCAGTAAGGTGGGCTTACCTCGTTGGCTTTCCCTCTCTCAGGATCACTGTCCTTTGCTGCCTGACGGCCAATGACCGAAAACTACAGTTTCTATACTTTTTTCAGTTCTTTCGTTTTCATGGCGGAAGGTAAGTGTAGTTCCTGTTATTCCATCTTCACTGGAAAGGAAATCCCAACCTAGTTTTTAAAACTTTTAATGAAATATTTTTAGCACTCAGGCAAGTGTATTGATTATGCAGATAGCCATGACTCGTTTTTATAGTTTTGTCATTTTTCCACTGCATTTTTAAAAACAAAGTAGTACAGATACAATTAAAATCCTTTTTTTTTTTTTCCAGACAGAGTCTCACCCTGTTGCCCAGGCTGGAGTGCATTGGTGCAGTCTCGGCTCACTGCAGTCTCCATCTCCTGGGTTCAAGCAATTCTCCCGTCTCAGCCTCCCTAGTAGCTGGGATTATAGGCATGTGCCACCACACATGGTTAATTTTTGTATTTTCAGTAGAGATGGGATTTCACCATGTTGGCCAGGCTGGTCTCAAACTCCTGATCTCAAGTGATCTTCCCACCTCAGCCTCCCAAAGTGATGGGATTACAGACTTGAGCCACCATGCCCAGCCAAATCCTCTCTTCTTAATCCTATTCTTCTTTCCCTTTACAGAGGTAGCCAATATTCTGTATTTGATTATTGTCATTCATGTGTGGATTTAAAAAAATAGTTTTACTACATATGTATGTATCTATAAATAGTCTCTATTAACAGTATTATCTGAAGACAAAAAACAGTATTATCTGAAGACATTATGCTGTACCTATAATTCTTCCATTTTCTTTCACTTTTCATTCAGCATTTAAAAAATATTTATCCCTATGACACAGATAGCTTTAGCTGAAATGTACATTCTACAAGAACAAGAATCTTGCTGTGTTTTGTTCACTAGGATATTCCAAGCATCTAGATATTGTCTGGCATATTATAGGGTCAATCAACATTTGTTGAATGAATGAGTGCTGTATCGTACTTGACTATATGAGTATGCCACAGTGTATTCTCCTGTTGATGAATGCTTAGGTTGTTGTACCTTTTTTTGTTTTTTTGTTTTTGTAATATGAACAGTGCTACGGTGAATGTTCTGGTTTGTGTCTCCTTGTGCACATATGTAAGGATTTCTTTTAGGAAATACTGGGTGTTAGGGGCAGGCACCTCTCCAACTTAGCAGTACCTTGCTGAGTTACCCTCCATGGTAATATTATCAATTTATACTCCCACCAGCAGTGTACAAGAATCCCAGTTTCTCCATATTCTCACCAACATTTGATATTATCAGATATTTTGATTTTTGCCAATCCTATATACATAAGATTATGTTTTGTTTTACTTTTTGTTAATAACACATATCATTTTTCTTAATAGAAATTTGATGTATTCTTTCCATCCTGGGAATGGACATAATGATAGTCGGAGGACTGTGTTTTATACCAATGAAGAGTGGGAATTTTTAGACCCAACCCCTAAGGACCTAGAGGAGTCCATAGTACAGGAAGAAAAGAAGAAGCCGAGCCCTGAAGGAAACAAAGGTATCTATGCACTTCCTGTTGTCTATCATTCTCTCTACTGCCATCTGTTAACCACCAGTGATGTGGGAGACACTTTATTAGCAGGTATTTCTGGAAGCAGAAGGCCTAATTGGGGCTTGCATTTTCTTTGTGGGACTTAAAACATAAAGGCTTGGCAAATTATTTAATAAATGTTACAAGAAATAAATGGCTGTCTAGTCCAATGGCTCAAAATTTTTTGGGAAATAGAACACTTAGAAGTCATGATCCTCTTTATGGAAATATTGATTTTTAAAAAACTTTTTAGTTAATATAAATGATCAAAGCCAGGTGCAGTGGCTCATGCCTATAATACCAGCACTTTGGGAGGCCAAGGTGGGTGGATCACGAGGTCATGAGTTTGAGACCAGCCTGGCCAACATGGTGAGACCCCGTCTCTACTAAAAATACAAAACTTAGCCAGGCAAGAGAATTGCTTCAACCCAGGAGGCAGAGGTTGCAGTGAGCTGAGACTGCGCCACTGCACTCCAGCCTGGGCAACAGAGCGAGACTGTATCTCAAAAAAAAAAAAAATTGTCTTTAGAAAACTCGTAAAATTAAGATTGATAATTCAGAATAACATTGGATTTTTGTTATTTACGTAATATTATATGACTGTGGCATTTTGGGAAAATCATTTATTTCATTCTTTCTGTATCAGGCAAATTTACAGTTTATGACCTGGTTCGGTGTGTAATCTTATTCTTCAGATTCCCAATGCAGTTTTTGCTTGTCTGTAGATGCTATTATTATTAGACGCACATAAAACTTGAGGGATAAATAGGGTTGGGTCCATTGCAGTCACCGTAGCTATGAATTCAAATAGGATCTTTCCAGAAGCATTTATTATAGATAGTATTTGATATTGAATCTTTATTAAAAATTGTTTTAATGGTTAATAGATATTGTGAACTGTCACTGTATGTTCAGTTGGTTACCTTTTGCTCTCATTTATTCCACTCCAACAACCGACCTAGGTTCTGTTCTTCAAACCTACAAGGCATGCTCCTATCTCAGTAACCTTTACAATTGGTGTTCCTTCCATCTGGAATGCTTTCTCCACATATGTGCATAACTGATTTCCTATCTTCCTTCAGATATTTGTGCAAGTGTCATCTTAGGGAAATCTTTTCTGATTGCCCTAGTTATAATTGCAACTTAAATCTCCTACTTCTTGTCCCTCTTTTCTACTTAATTTTCTCCTTAGCAACTATCACTATCTGGCAGGCCCTCTATTTCACTGCCTCATTGTCTTTCTCCCCTTTCCTAGAATATTAGTTTCATGAGAGTAGGAACTGTATCCACCTAGTTGCCTACTGAATACATTATACCTAAAACAGTACCTGGGTAAAGCAGATACTAAACTATTTGAGTGAATGAAAAAACAAAAAACAGGAATGAGTGAGTGAGTGAATGAATAAAAATATAAATGGTTGGAAACATATATATGAATAAATATGTAGATGAAAAATACTCTAAGGCCAGATGCTTGGCTCACACCTGTAATCCCAGCACTTTAGGGGACCAAGGCAGGCAGATCAAGAGGTCAGGTGTTCGAGGCCAGCCTGGCCAATATGGTGAAACCCCGTCTCTACTAAAACTACAAAAATTAGCCAGGTGTGGTGGCATGTGCCTGTAGTCCCAGCTACTCAGGAGGCTGAGGCAGGAGAATTGCTTGGAAAGCTTCAGCGAAAGAAGGGACACACAGAGTAGAGTTCGCAAGGTGCAGCATGAGAATGTTATTGCCACCGACAAACTCCAGCACTGGAACACCACGAAGTGAGACGTTCTGTTGTGCAAAGAAAAAAAGAAAAGAAAAAAGAATACCCGATAAAACCCGATAGATGAACCATGTATTTTTGGTGCAACAGAAATAAGATAACCCAATTACTGAAAATTGAAGTTGGGTTAGATATGGATAAATTTTGAGCTTGTCTGACCATGTGCGCCAATGCTGAAGTTTAAGTTACATGTAATTGGACTATCTGAATAGATTATTGTAGCAAAGAGATAATGATTTAAGAGTGGACTATAAAATTTGTAATCAAAACATTTGTTACTTTTTTCTAAAAGGGTTTTAACCTTATTCTGGTGAGAAAAGAATAGGTTTTCCAAGGTTAACTTTGATAGAGTTAAAGGCGAGTACAGGGACAGAATTATTTTTTTTTTTTAAAGATGCAGGATAGCATTTGTTCTGGTTGGACCGTGCTGGGATGGAGAGTGCACAGATGAAGTGCGCACATCATGGCTCGACTACCGCCCCTCCATGGGCTCAGCACTATTTCTGCCACCTCGCCTCGCTGAGTAGATGTAAAGGCAGGACACCACATTCCTTGGCTTTATTTTGGTGAGAAACTTTTTTTTTTTTTTTTTTTATTTTTGTGTGGAGAACACGAGAGTCTCCCTTTGTTAGCCCAGGAATTAGTCTCTAATTCCTGGCTGTCTATAAACGAAAATCTCCCTGCCTTTGGCCCTCCCAAAGGCCTGTTTAAAGGTTGGGTGTAGACATCTTATGAGTCGTGAGCACCCCACCTGCTGGAAATCGTTATCATATTCTTTTGGATAATGTCAGGGGTAATCCCTTATTCACCACAAATGTTTATGGGCAGGTATTGGCTAGGATTTTTATTAGCAAGATGAGAGCTTTTTCTTGCACATAAGACCTAGAGGTATATGGAGTCTGATCTTCAACTCAAGCTTATCGATAACTAAAAATATTTTAGAGACATGTCTTAAATTAGATGTACCTACACTGGTTAGTGTGTAGAGTACTACACTAGTTGTCAGGACCAATTAGTAACTGCGATATATTGGGGAGAATAGTGGAACTGCTTATTCTTGGATGGCCTGGGCTGCTGGCCGTTACTGTAATTTTGAGGTTCATGTGAGATTAAATAACATTGGGGGGAAAACGTTAAAAGGCAGGATGGTCTGACTCCTGCCAACCGCTCAACCGCAAAAAACATTAGCGTACACCTTTCCCATAACACATTACATATGTGCATAGCCGATGAGATTAGGAAAAATGTTTTGTATGCTAACAAGATAACCGTAAACATAGTTGTAGTACTAACTATTGAATATATTCTTTCTGAGGGCCTGCTTGGTTCTGAGTTTTCTTCTCCTTTTCGAATAGTTTGGAGATTATGGTTTCATATTAGGGTAATTCATCTAACAATAACTGCTTTGCCAAAATCTGCTTTTATGCATTGGACAAGTGCTGCACTTACTTTATTCTATACTGTGTGCTGTATAGTTTATTCTATACTTTTATCTTTGTTTTCTTTGCATCTATAGCATGTTTGCTGGTGGTTTGTTTTCTCTTTGCTATTTTGACCAATGACACATTGGAGATTTTCTCATCTATAAGAAACTATTTTTAAAAGCTTATGTTCCATCCCCTTTTCTTTCCACCTTAATGCACTAAGCATCACTTTTTTGTTTCTTTTTGACTTTTTTTTTTCCTTTTTGTGGAGAATGGGGTCTCTTGCTTCTAGGATTCTAACATATTTGCACCTTATGGTTTCCACTCTGATAAATTTTCAAGTTTGTATCAGAAGCCATAGCCTTTATGTTGTACTTACAGGCAAATATTACAATTCCTTATTTTTCAACAGTTTCACAAAGGCTGAAAAATTTGCCTCATACTTCCCTCAAAGCCAAACAGTTGCTTCAAACTTCATCTACAAATAGAGGTAAGTACTAAGTTTAAAGTTCAGCAGATGATCTAGTTCAATCTTAAGCCTTTTGACATACTGAGTGACCGGTGTCTGTAATATAATATAATATGTTTTAGTCTTTAAAAAAAAAATAACAATAGGCCGGGCGCGGTGGCTCATGCCTGTAATCCCAACACTTTGGGAGGCTGAGGTGGGTGGATCACGAGGTCAGGAGATCAAGACCATCCTCACTAACACAGTGAGACCCCGTCTCTACTAAAAGTAGAAAAAAATTAGCCAGGCATGGTGGCACGCACCTGTAATCCCATCTACTCAGGTGGCTGAGGTAGGAGAATTGCTTGAACCCCGGAGGCGGAGGTTTCATTGAGCCGAGATTGCGCCACTGCATTCCGGCCTGGGCGACAGAGTGAGACTTTGTCTCTAAATAAATAAGCAAATAAATAATTTTTAAAAAGCAATAAAATAATGAGAATTTATCATGTTATTTGGGTAAATCCAGAAGAAACATTTTCTACAGAGGTATGTATTGGGTTGTTTTGCTGAAAGGAGTAAGTGATATATAGAGAATTTATTTTTGTTACCAACTTAAAACTAAAAGTCATTGTTTCAACTTTATGCCAACTAAAATTCATAAGTGCTTTAAAATGAGCTTTATATATACATTTTAATGGACTCGGGAAAGCATTTCTGGACTGATTTCATAGAAGTAGAATTTCTAGAGGAAAATAATATAAAACAGTTTTAGGGATTTTAGTAGAAATTTTCAAATTATCCTGCAGGAAAATTGGTTCAGTTTATACTCCCACCAACAGCGACAGAGCTCCAGTTTCCTCCTTCCATTTGGCATCTTCGCTGGTCTTTAAGCAGAAAATATTGTTTTCATTACATTTCTTTGGTTTTAGTGCTTTTGAATCTTTTTTATGTGCTTACTGGCCGTTTTTATTTTTGTAGTAAGTGCCTGTTTCTCCATTGCCCACTTTCTGTTAGAAATCATTTGGTTTTTTCTGAGTAATTTTATAAAATTATAAAATATTTTATCTTTTTTTAATCATTTGTCTTTTTCTGAGTAATTTAAAGATTTCTTTATAAGCTAAGGATACAAACCTTTTATCTGTCATTGAAGTTTCAAAAACTTTCTCCCAGTAAGTAATTTGTCATTTTGCTTTATTTTTTCTTTCTTTGTTTTTTGCTAGCCAAACTCCAAAGTCACATTTTACTTAATTTTTATCCTGCTGAATGAAAGCATTTTAACTTAGTGATTTTAGTGTAAACAGGAGCAGGACAGAATGTAATTATCTAGGTCTTGCTCTGTCACCCAAGCTAGAGTGTAGTGGCATGATCATAGCTACTGCAGCCTCAAACTCTGGGACTCAAGTGATTTTCCTGCCTCAGCCTCCCAAGTAGCTAGGACTACAGGTGTGTACCACCACGCCCTGCTGATTTTTAAAATTTTCTGTAGAGATACGAATTCGCCGTGCTGCCCAGGCTGGTCTTGAACTCCTGAGTTCAAGTAATCCTCCCACCTTGGCTTGCCAAAGTGCTAGGATTACAGGTGTGAACTACTGTTTCTGGTTGAGAGTTTACTTTTGTTTGCTAGTGGTGTTCTTGGTATCTTTTCACATTTGAGGCTTTGGTCCTAGTGCTGAAGTATTACACTTACCATCTGAGGTTTACAGGACTTGTGTTTTAATATTGAACAGATGGAACTGTTCTGCATCTTTGCAGGTATACAAAATGTGCCTACCAGGACTCCCTTTTGTATCCATTGAAAGCAAGAAGTAATAGAGTAAAATTTTGCCTGGCTAGAGGCTTTGAAAGAATGGAGTATTCTGGTTTAATTCTATGAACTTAGAATTATGAAGGTAAAAATTTTTCAAAACTTTAATTTCGTATTGAATGCAATTTGAAAATATAACCAATGATTCCATTTTTTTTCTCTAATAAGTTTGGACATTCAGATCTACGTGATCTTTTATTATAGAACTCCTAGTGTGCCTGAGACTTACATTGTGAAGATCCTTTTCTGAAACTTTAGATGTAAGAGGATGTAAATGGTATTGTGTGAGATCAGGCTGGATGAGAACTGTTACCTGTGAATACACTTTTTAGACTAAATCTCTGATTGCCACTTGTTTTCTAATTTAACTTATAAAAATAAAACACACTGGGCCGGGCTCGGTGGCTCAAGCCTGTAATCCCAGCACTTTGGGAGGCCGAGACGGGCAGATCATGAGGTCAGGAGATCGAGACCATCCTGGCTAACATGGTGAAACCCCGTCTCTACTAAAAAATACAAAAAACTAGCCGGGTGAGGTGGCAGGCGCCTGTAGTCCCAGCTACTCAGGAGGCTGAGGCAGGAGAATGGCATGAACCCGGGAAGCAGAGCTTGCAGTGAGCTGAGATCCGGCCACTGCACTCCAGCCTGGGCGACAGAGCAAGACTCCATCTCAAAAAAATAAATAAATAAAATAAATAAAACACATTGGATGGAGGGTGGAAGTAGGAAGGAGATTTATTCCTTTTAATTGCATGTCATTGTTTCATATCAAGACAGAACATATAGCATCCCTGACTTTGGACTTACAGAAGGAAACACATTTTTCTACCTGCTGTATGCCAGATGTTCTTGAGCACCTGGAGGGTTTATTGAAGCACAGATTGCTGGGCCCTACTCCAGAGTTTCTGATTCATCAGGTCTAGGGTGGGGTCTGATAATTAGAATTTGTAAGAAGTTCTTAGGTGCTACTGGTCCAGAGACTACATTTTTGAGAACCACTCTTGTATACTAATTATAAATTGTAAAACTCTAGAAAAAAGCTTAGTTTGGTCTGGGATAAGCAGCACACAGGTTATGGAGCAAATCATGAGAGATTCAACCATTGATCCCAGTCTAGTGTGGAATTTGGATAATAAGCAATACACAATGACATAACACAATTCTTGGTTTTCATGGTTGTAAGTCGTAGCCAAGTATTTTTTAGTGAGAAATTCAGATTCGTTTGCAAGGTTTAGAGATTCCAGGTGATTCTAGAAAAATAGGATTTAGTGATTAACCCCATGAGAGTAGGAGTTATTTATGTCCTTTTTCTCTCCCCCATCACTTAGCATTTAGCCTTACTTTAGAAGGGCCTGTATTTGCTTTAGACTGGTAAAGAGCTTTGAGTGCTTATTAAATTGAAAGCTTTGTGTTTTTATTTATTTATTTATTTATTTATTTATTTATTTATTTATTTATTTATTCTTGTGAGATGGAGTCTTGCTCTGTCATCCAGGCTGAAGTGCAGTGGCGTGATCTCGGTTCACTGCAACCTCTGCCTCCTGGGTTCAAGCGATTCTCCTGCCTCAGCCTCCTGTGTAGCTGGAATTACAGGTGCCCATCACCACACCTGGCTAGTTTTTGTATTTTTAGTAGAGACGGGGTTTCACCATGTCAGCCAGTCTGATCTCAAACTCCTGACCTCAGGTGATCCACCTGTCTCAGTGTCCCAAAGTACTGGGATTACAGGCATGAGCCACCATGCCCGGCCCAAAAGCTTTGTGTTTTTAAAGATATTAGACATGTTTCTTGTTTTAAAAAAATCTTAACAGTAATGTAGGAGAATAAGAGAAACTTTTTCCAAAAAAGGGAAATCATTGTGATTATTTTTTTCATTGGAATGTTGGATAATGTAGTCTGCTTCATTAATCATCAAGTGTGCTATGGATTTTTCCATTTTTACAGGATTTGTACCTCAATTGATGGAATACTGGTAATTCTTCTATTCCATTTGAAGATGAAAAAGGCCAAAATCGTAGGCCTGGCATAGAAGTTGGATAATGAAGACAGCTCTGGAAGAACATATAGATACACACACATATAGACACACACATATATAAAATACACAGACATATTATTTTTAAAGTTCATTTTTTAAAGTTTTAAAGTTTTCAAAATGAAAACTGGCCCTGCCCCTCTCCCAGAGTGAGTGGAGAACAGTGGTTACATGAGCAGCTTTCCTTGTGAGGCCACAGGTCCCTCTGGACATGCTGCTGCCTGGCCATGGCTCCTTTCCCTTTCATCTTTCTCATAGACCAAGGGGCTTCGAGCATTAAGGCCACACCCCTATTATGCATTCTAGTGCGACCCTGGTTACACCTCCTCTGGCTCAGTCACACAGCTGTGTGGTAGGCTACTAGTAGTGTTTAGCAGTTGTCACTGGGATCACACTGATGTGGCCCCATCCCCGCCTCTCCCTGCCCAGTGATATCGGAAGAAACCTGACAGAGAAAATTGTCCACGGCCAAGAAAAAGGTAAAATGCACCAGGTTATGGCCCCCTGACCCAGGCCCAGTCCCCCTCCGATGGTAGGACTGCTGCCAGAGTCTGTGCCACTCCTGAGGCACACCAGGCTGGGCCCCACCCAATGCCTCTGGGCTCCCCCAACCAAAATCTTATAGCCAGCCCCTCCCCCTCAGCAGCCCAGCTTCTGCCCTCACCAGTTGCCCCAGGGTGACTTTGGGTGGGTGAATCCTGGGGCTCCCTGCTCCATACTCAGTCTTTACCTTCTGCTGCCCCAAGTGTGACCTCCCTTGGGTCTTTGGGCTGACATCTCCAAGGACCTGGGTCCTGGCCCTGCACCTCCTTCCCACATCTCAAAGTGGTGACTCAGGCGTCATGCTGATAGGCACCCCCACCCCAGGGAGGAGTGGAATATAGTGACATCACAGTTCCCCTAGGAACTGTCATTACTGCCACGAAACTGGTCTTTGATCTTAGGACCCAGTCCACTAAGTGTTCTCACCCTGCTTCTGGTTCCTCTGGTCACAGCACAGGTTTCCAGCTGGAAGGGGAATGGGGACTATGGGACCTAGGAGTGAGAGGTTTCAGGCTGCCTTACTCCATTAGCAGAGACATTGACAATGTGAAAAGCCCACACTTTCCCCATGAGCTCAAAATGTTGACAGTGTCTCTGGGTGGCAATAGGAGAATGGGTTTGGTTTGATTTTGTCCCAGGCTTCTACTCTCCAGAGAGTTTAACATTTTTTTCTGAGTTTTCCACCTCATATTCAAATTCTCTGTGGTTCCGGGACCAGAATGCCCTTCAATCAGTGGTTTCTAGAGTAAGATCTGCTTATCTTCTGTGGAACAGATCTTGGGAAACTGAATTTGACAGCTTGAATCTTCCTCGTATCATCTCAACCTAGGGTACTTTGAGTGCCTGGGGTTGTTGCTTCTTGGGAAAGTGCTAGCCTGACTAGTTGTCAGAAGCCCTATATTTTTATCCTGACTGAGTCCCTAATTTGCTCTTTGATTCTGGACAAGCCACCTCTCCTCCTTGGGCTTACATTTCCTGAGGAGGTAGAGTTAGAGAATATCAAAGGGCTCTGTTAGCTCTGAGAGTCCAAGGTTTAAAGGCTCACTAGAGCTGGGCATGGTGGCTCCTGCCTGTAATCCCAGCACTTTGGGAGACTGAGGTGGGTGGATCAGGAGGTCAGGAGTTCGAGACCAGCCTGACCAACATAGTGGAACCCCATCTCTACTAAAAATACAAAAATTAGCCAGGCATGGTGGCACACGCCTGTAGTCCCAGCTATTCAAGAAGCTGAGGCAGGAGAATCGCTTGAACTTGGGAGGCAGAGGTTGCAGTGAGTCGAGATGGTGCCACTGCATTCAAGGCTGGGCAACAGAGCAAGACTCTATCCCCCCGCAAAAAAAAAAAAGGCCCACTAGAATGAAAACCTCAGGGCCAAGGGCTCCTGTTTGTCTTTTTCTGTCTTATATCCCTGTATTAAGAACCATACCTAAGGCCGGGTGCGGTGGCTCAAGCCTGTAATCCCAGCACTTTGGGAGGCCGAGACGGGCGGATCACGAGGTCAGGAGATCAAGACCATCCTGGCTAACATGGTGAAACCCCATCTCTACTAAAAAAAAAAAAAAAAAAAAACTAGCCGGGCGAGGTGGCGGGCGCCTGTAGTCCCAGCTACTCAGGAGGCTGAGGCAGGAGAGTGGCGTAAACCCGGGAGGCGGAGCTTGCAGTGAGCTGAGATCCGGCCACTGCACTCCAGCCTGGGCGACAGAGCGAGACTCCGTCTCAAAAAAAAAAAAAAAAGAACCATACCTGGCCCATATGTGCTCAGTAAATGTTTGTTGAATGAATATACCTTTCTACATCACAAGCTGGCAGAAGCGGGGGCTTTTCTCAAACTTCATCTCTAGAGGTTTATGTTACTGTCCCTTTGAGAGAATTCGGATTCAGACTTTCAGTTCTATGACTGTGGGCCAAAACCAACAAAGATCCAAATCCTCTTTCCTTGGGAGCTTGAGGAGAGTTTACCAGTTCATGTTTCCATTAAGTCTGAGAACTTTGCCTTTAAAATCTATTCCTGGCTGCTGCCTACCCCTTCCTGGTCTGGGGAATAGAGTCGAGGGGGCCATCCTTAGTCACCATCCTTTAACTGTCTCCACAGAAACAACAGAACCAAGAAATGGTGGATCAGTTGGAAGAAGTAACTGTTTGCTCACAACATGACTGCTGGATTTGGGGGGCACTCAGATGTAGAGGCTTCAGTCTCGTCTCACCCACTCCCAGCCTGGGGAAGGCTCACCCCCCAGATTCCACCCCATCCCCATAAGGTCCCTGATAACTTGGTCCCATGGGTGGAACTGTCCTGGGGCATTGGTGCCATTCTGGGGGCATGTCCCTTGCTGTACCATCTCTGCTTCCCCCTAGTAAGAGCTCTGTATTCCTTTTCCTGTAGGAAAAGAGTGCCACCAAAAGCAGGGAGCTCTAAGGGAGCAGTTACAGGTGAGTAGAGAGTGTGAAGTTCCCTCCTGTCCTCTGGAGAATGTTTCTTTCCTTCTCTTTCAGCTTTTGGCTTTTCTACCAAAGGTTCACATTCAGAATGTAGAAATCCTTGTATCAGAGAAAGCCAAGTTACAGACAGCCCTGGCTCACACTCAGCATGCTGCCAGGCAGAAAGAAGGTGGGAATCTGGGCACCCCATCATCCTTCAACTTGGCACTTTGACAGGCCATTGGGGGAGTCCTTTGGGCCCCATCTGAACCTCTCTCATTCCAGGAGAGTCCGAAGATCTGGCCAGCTGCCTGTAGTATTCCTGGCAGTGTGTGGGAGAGTTGGAGCAGGCTCTTTGCTGTCTCCATACAGGAGAAGAAAGCAGACAGGGTGAGTCCAACCACCTGCCCCATCCCCTGGCAGCCTGGCTTCCCAGATGGCAGAGTGAGCCTAAAGGTCCCTTCTGCAGGATGAAATGTCCTGCCCAGAAAGCAGCATGGACTATTTCTCACTGCTTGTGTGTGTGGTTGTTAGAGGTAGCCTGGGGCTGAGTCAGCTGCTGTGGGTGAGTTAGGGGTCCTATGGAGAGCGAGCACTGGATGCAGAGTTCGGAGGCCAAGTCCTCGCCCTACCCTTAACTGGCTTTGGCCTTTGCCAAGTGCTAGGTGGGGGATATGGTACTTGTACTGTGAAGGTACAGAAGAGTATCTTCAGTATGTTACCATTTGTGTAGAGAGAGGGAATGTGTGTGTGTGTGTGTGTGTGTGTGTGTGTCTACATACATACTATGATCATATACATAAAATGTGTCTACAAGGATTCATCAACTCAGGAAGGGGTTAGGGGGAAAGGGGAAGGAGAGCATTAGGACAAACACCTAATGCATGTGGGGCATAAAATCTAGATGACGGGTTGATAGGTGCAGCAAACCACCATGGCACACGTATACCTATGTAACAAACCTGCACATTCAGCACATGTGTCCCAGAACTTAAAGTAAAATAATAAATAAATAAAATAAAACACAAAAAACTCAGGAGAGAGGAACAGGGTGGCTGGGAGATATTTCCCTTCTGTACCTTCTGAGCTTTGGACTATGTGAATGGATCATCCTTTCAAAAAGTGAACAAGAGATTGATTTCCCCCTTCCTATCTGTGCCCCCACCCCTAGTGAACAAATGGGCTTAGAGAATCAGATACACCTGAGGGTTCAAATCCCAGCTCTGAGTGATCTTAGGCAAGCACTTAATCTCTAATACCCCATGTTTTTTATCGACACAATAGAGGTAATAATAGTAGTTGTCTCATATGGTGGTTGTGAGGATTAAATGGGATTGTTAGCATGGTGGCTAGTGAAGCACTCAATAAGGGTTCAAACAGTGGTAGTAATAACGGTAAAATAATAACAATATTGTTTTATCCCTCTGGGCCTCTGTTAGCCAGCTGTAAATTCAATCTCTTTCCCTGTCTGTTCACCCTTACTAAGTTCTTTTAAAAACAAATGAGACTGACCAGGCACTCAGACTCATGCTTGTAATCCCAGCACTTTGGGAGGCCTAGGCTGGCGGATCATGAGGTCAGGAGTTTGAGACCAGCCTGGCCAGCACAGTGAAACCCTGTCTCTACTAAAAATACAAAAATTAGCTGGGTGTGGTGGTCGGCACCTGTAAATTCCAGCTACTCAGGAGGCTGAGGCAGGAGGATTACTTGAACCTGGGAAGCCGAGGTTGCAGTGAGCCGAGATAATGCCACTGCATTTCAGCCTAGGCAACAGAGCTAGACTCCGTCTCAAAAACAAAACAAAAACAAACAAACAAACAAACAAAAAGCAAATGAGATCATGGACTTAGAAATGCCTTGAAAAAATGTCAGGTGTGATTCAGAGTGAGGAAGTGTTACTGTGGAATAGTTACTGAGCTGTTGGTACTGGTCGGCCAGCTGCTCCTCTGCCTGCTATATCCTGACTTAACCTTGGCCTGTATTTTCAGTACAACAAGGAGTTAACCAAAGAGAGAAACACCCTCAGGCTGGAGTTACACAAGAACAGGTAGCATGGGGGAAGGTGGGATGGGAGGTCTGGGAGGTCTGGGGGCCCTTAGCATGGGTGATGTGCTGGGAGGTTGAGGGGGTACAGGTAAGCATGGTGAGGTGGTCATACAGGTTTGTACATGTGCACAGTTAAGCTGTAGTGCTGGTGACTCATGGTGTAGCCTCGAACAACTCACGCCTTCTCTCAGGCCTGCCATCTGTAACTTTGGATTCCTGGGGTTCCTTCCAGTGCTACGGTTCTGTGGTTGTGAGGCAAGGGTGGAGGGTTGATCACCAAAGCAGTCCTTTCTGTTCTTAGTTCATTCCTTTCTCTACTGCCTCTGGCCATAACCGAATCAATGAGGACTGAAGCAGGAGAAATCAGAATTGGAAGAGAAGCTTTGAGTCCTAGTGACTGAGAAGGCTGGCATACTGCTTAACTTAGAAGAGCTGCAAAAGAAATTACAAATGACTAAACTGCTTCAACAAGCTAAGGACTGCAGCCGTGGAGGTGGTTGGAGCCCCATCCAGCTGGGGCCATGGTCTAGGGATCATGCCAAGAGTTGGAAAATTTCGGTCCTTGTTCTGATGCTGCCATAGAATCCTCTAGAGAGTGCTAAAAAATCTACAAATTGGGGCCCTACCATAGACCTGGGGAATCAGAATCTCAGGGTTAGGGCTTTAAAAAAAATTTTTTTAACACATCATAGATGAAAACCATTATTTGATAAATTACATTTATATGGCTAGCTAATGAGTCTGTTTATTTCCATCTGAGGTTCAAGCCAACACTTCCACTATTCCATGGGTAATAATAGAGAGTAGAGGTTTTTTGTTTTTTGTTTTTTGTTTGTTTGTTTGTTTGTTTCAGATGGGGTCTCTATCACCCAGGCTGGAGTGCAGTGGTGTGATCTTGGCTCACTGCAGCCTCTACCTCCCAGGCTCAAGCGATCCTCCTGCCTCAGCTTCTCAAGTAGCTGGGACTATAGGTGCACACCACCACACCTAGCTAATTTTTGTATTTGTAGAGACGGGGCTTTGCCATGTTGCCCAGGCTGGTTTTGAACTCCTGAGCTCAAGTGATCCGCCTCCCTCAGTCTCCCAAAGTGTTGGGATTCAGACATGAGCCACCATGCCCAGCCTGAGATCTTTTTAAAATTATTTAATTTTTCATTTCTAAAACAAAGAAACTTGACAGCAGAGTTGTATTGACTGAGTTGTACACTGAGCCTAGCCCTAGCCCTTTTAAGGGGCACTGTTGGAACGGCCCAGGCTCCCAGAATCTAAACTTCTCACTCTTCACTATCTGGTTTTCAAGGCACTGTGAAGGCCCTGATACTAAACAGCAGTTACTGCAGGCCATGGAGGAGCGGGCATAGCTGGAAGCACACCTGGGGCAGGTGAGGCTTTGCAGGGGAGGGATATGGAAGGAAGATGACCCCAGGTGGCCAGGAGCAGGTGAGGACCAGTGACAGCCCTTCGTAACTTCTGTCCCCATTCTTGAAGGTAATGGAGTCAGTTGGACAACTACAAATGGAGAGAGAGACGTATGCTGAAAATCTGAAAGGAGGGAGTGCCATGTGGCAGCAGAGGATGCAGTAGATGTCAGAGCAGGTGAGACCTGACCCTTCAGCCCCCCACCTTATATAGATCACTTGATCTTTCTAGACATCTGTAAAATGGGAAGACTATAGCCAGAGGTGATCATGGGTCTAGGCTATGTGGAGGCAGGGTCAGAGATGGAGATGGTAGCCCATCCAGCCATCAGCCCCTCTCTTCAGGGCCCTTTCCTGCTGTATTTTGGGCAGGTGCGCACATTGAGAGAGGAGAAGGAGCATAGCATGAGTTGGGTATAAGAACTGGAAATGAGCTTGGCTGAACTGAGTAACCAAATGGGTAAGCTGGGACTGTGGTGACCTGGGAGCAGGACTGCTATCAGAGTGCTGTGGGGGTGGCTTAGAATGCCCCAGGGGGTGGGTGGATGGAGGGCTTTGGGGCAGAAGGAAAGAGGTCTGTGCCAGGAGTTGGCAAGTCTTGTAATCTCCATGAGCCTCAGTGTTCCCATCAGCAAAGAGGGAAGTGTGCCCATTGTCAGCCATCCACAGTTGTCTCTATCAGAAAGTGGCGGGAAGACTGGCTAATATCCGGGTGCAAGGAATCATTAGCAGGGAGGCCAAGTTTGGGGAGCCTGAGAGGAGCTGTGGACCAAGAGGAGGGTGTTTTTTTTGAGAATCCAGAGGCCCTTACTGTCGCTTCCTTTCTTACCTGAGCCGTGCCCCTGGAACTCCAAGCAGGGCCCTCCAGGGTGGAGCAGCAGCTACAAGCAGAGGCTGGCCACCTGCAGAAGGAACTGGAGAGCCTGGCAGCTCCAAGCCCAGGAGCAAGACACTGAGGGCTTCAGTCACCCGAACCAGGAGTGGGAGGAGAGGCTGCTGGAGCTGCAGCAGGTGGCCAAGCTCTTGGGGGAGCAGGCAGAGTTGCACAGACAAATCTTGGAGACCATGCAGAATGACTGCACCACCATCAGCCGCGTGCTCACCCAGAACCACGAGCTCAAGGAGCAACTGTCTGAGCTGCAGAATGGATTCATAAAGCTGGTGTGTGACCCCATCAGGAGAGCCTGCCCTCCTCCCTAGCCCTCCCGACCTTTGTTTTCCCGCCCATAAAATGAGGCAGTGTACCCCTAATGTAAGATGGTACTTCCGAAGGTACCTGTGAACCAGAGCCCTGCTCTGATGGCTGTGGGGAAGTGGGAATGATTTTTCTAACCTGCCTCCACCCTTCCTGGTGCCATGGGAGGCAGACACCAAGTTCTAGGGTCTCCAGCTGCAGTGGATGGCTGCCGATTGCTTCTCTCTGTCCAGACTAATGAGAACATGGAGATCACCAGTGCAATGCAGTTGGAATAGCACGTAAAGAGGGAGCTGGGAAAGAAGCTGGGCAAGCTAAAGGAGACGGTAACACTGCACCATCCAAGAAGAGCTGGAAGGCGGGCACCAGCCTCTAGGGAGGGGAGGTGTGAGGCCAGAGGCAGCTCCAGCCTGGGGGACAGGTGACCCCAGCACCCTCCAGGGCAGTCCTGTGACTGTTTCTTGCTTCCTGCCCTCTGACTTTTAGTGGTGGGCTCCTCCCAGGTCTGAACATCATCATCGCGGCTAGAGTCATGGAGCCCCCCAAACATAGGGAAAGAGACGGTGGTATAAGAGGCTCCTCAGAGTCAAACTGGATTCTGGCCTTGGCTCCCCTCATCACCATTCAACTACTTTGCATCTCTAAGTCTCAGTTTCTTTACCTTAAAAGGGAAGTTAGCACCTTCCTCGCAGAGGTGCTGAGGATTAAATGAGATAATACGTGGAAAGCATTAGGCATGTGGCACAGTTAGCAGATGGAGGTTGGCTCCCTCTGCTTTTCCATCAGTCTGTGGCCTAGTTTAAATGGTGGAAGGAAGGGTGTGAGATTTAAGTCTGGGTGTAGGGGATCAGTCAGTGTGGTTGGAAAAATTGTAAGATGAAGTTATAGGATATAGACACAAACCTTCTTGGAAGGCCAGAAGGTCTGCACAGCTTCAGTAAAGGATTTGGCTGAAAGCAGCCTAATCCCCTTTACCTTGAGTTGATAGCAGTAGAGCAAATAACATGGGAATGTGGGGTAGTTTATCTGAATAGCTTGTTTACTCATGTGGTCCTAAGACCAACCTTTGATTATCCGAGGGTGCATGATTGCTCTCTACTCGGTGGTCGGTGGTCGGCAAAGTTAATTACTCACAGGTGTGTTGACTCAAAGCCTTTGTCATTAAGTCTGTGCTGAATAAATGCCCTCAGGGCCAGCTGGTCAAGGCACACAACTCTTTTTGTGTGTGGCCTGGCCCCTTAGCTGCTCTGTCACTGAATATCGGTGTGAGTATGTTATTCATCTGCCATGCAGCTGGGGTCTGCAGGATAGACCCTTGCAAGTGGTGCCCTGCGGGAGGCACACTGTGAAGGATCACAACGGACCCCTCAAAAACGAAGATGAAAAGAACTGTGCAAACAGTAAGTTAGTAAGTCATTGATGCCCACTCGGAATTTCCAAGTTTGGGGGGATTGTTCAGGCTAGGGTTTCATCATGGGACAACAGTTATCAGCTTAACAGAAACAGTATATAAAAGTATTGAAACAGCTGCTTAAAGCTAGTGGAGCCTTGGTTTCACAGGCTCAATTAAGGGACCTAATGCAAACTGTTGTCTCACAAAACTCATGGTTCCCAGAAAAAGGAACGCTAGACGTAGAGCTCTGGGAACAAGTGGGGAGAGATCTTAATCAACATCATGCGCAAAGGCAACAGGTCCCAGTATCATCTTTAATGCTATGGGCCTTAGGGTGACCCTGGCTCTGTTATACACAGAAGAACCTAAAAAGGGGAAGGAGGAGGAACCGTCACCTGCCTTACCACCTCCTTTTCGCTCAGCCCTGATATCAGCAGACCAAAATAACAAAGAGGAAATGGAGGTTTTGCCTGAGCCCCCTCCTGCAATAAATAGGAAAAAAGACAAGAGCTACGCTACAGCTATGGGACCCTTTCTTAGGCAAGAGGCATTAAAAGGGGAGCTCTTAGCCTGCCTGGTAATGCAAGGTTGACAAGGCAATTGGGTATATAAACCTATTTCTTTTAACGTTTATAAAAAGTTAAGAAAAAGCATTAGAGGTTGAAGCCGTGTGGCCAAGCTGGTGGTAGGCAGAAGGAAATGCTTGGCAGCAAAGGAAGCTCGTACACCTGGAGCCAGCGAGTGCTTCCAGGAACTCGGCCTGCACAGAGGTAGCAGTGACAAGGAGCCAGGCCCAGCACACCAGAGCTGGCCTGCTAGGGAGAGGCAGGAGGCGTGCACGAAGGTCCACTCGGCTGGCAGCAGCTGCCCAGCGGCAGCAGGTTGAGGGAGCAGCACAGACAAAAGGCGGCACAGACAAAAAGCAGTGCAAGTGCAACATGGCCGCCGCTCTGGGACCCACCTGCTAGACACCCAGCTCCACAGGTGGCCCACGGCAAAATTTCATGTGTTCCTTGTATACAAGTGACATCCCGGATTACAATTCTCTGCTAAGATTTAAGTACAATTTAAGAATTTAAAACACCTCTTTCTAATAATGGCCACTGTTGCTTTTACACTGTTTCCCTGGAAAAGCAAGACAGAGAAAAATTTGTGTTTACAATACCAGCTATCAATAATGAAAGGCCAGCTTTCCCGATTTCATTGGAAAGTGCTTCCTCAAGGAATGCTAAACAGCGCTGCCATGTGTCAGTATCATGTAAATCAAGCTTTGTTCCCCAGCAGAAAAGAATTTCCTGATTGCAAGGTTATTCATTTTATGGATGATATTCTACTAGCAGCCCCAACGGAGCCAATGCTTTTAAGTTTGTATACCTCTGTCATAAAGAATGCACAGCTGAGTGGTTTAATCATTGCACCTGAAAAAGCACAAATGTCCTCTCCTTGGAAATATCTTGGGTACATACTTCCTGGTCAGTAAAACCTCAAAAGGTTAAATACTAGCAACTTACACACCTTAAATGATTATCAGAAATTACTAGGCAATTTTAATTGGCTTCACCCCACCTTGGGCATTCCTACTTATAAGCTGCAAAACATGTTTTCTATCTTAAAGGGCAACACAGTCCTGGATTCTCTCAGATATTTAATCCCAGCAGCAAAAAAAAAAAAAAAAAAGATGGAAGAAATAGAACAGGCTATTTCTCAAAGACAAGTAAATCTCATAGATCCAAAATATTCTGTTCAATTGTTTATTTTTCCCAGTAAACACTCCCCTGCAGGGTTAATAGGACAAATGGCTCCAGAGCTATGTTTTTTAGCATGGGTTTTTTTGCTCACATACCGAGACTAAAACACTATCTCCCTATATCCAGTTAATCAGTAAAGTCATATATTCAGGCTGCAGATGATGCAGTCACTTGCTAGGTTGTGATCCTGATATCATCAGGATTTCTTTAAATAAAAAGCAATTCAAAGCAGTATTGCCCTTATCGATGGACTTCCAAATAGCACTCTCTGATTACACAGGTCAAATAGAGCATGTCATTCCTGCTAACTCCTTCAGTTTATCATACTCCTATGATTTTCCCTACAAAAAGAGTTCACTTCCCCATAAATGCTTTAACACTGTTTACTGATGGTTCTAGTAAACATGGAAAAGCAGCAGTCTGGTAGAGACCACATAATTCCATCACTCGATCTGGATTTACTAGCACTCAGAGAGCTGAGTTTGGGGCCTTGATATTGGCTTTGGAAACTTTTTCCACTCAGCCCCTCAATATTGTTAATGACTCTGCTTACTCTGTTTTTTTACTGCAGAACCTTGAGACAGCCCTAATTAAGTCCACTCTGGAGTCCACCCTGTGTGCTCTTTGACTTCAGCAATTGCTAGATCAGTGTACACATCCTATTTTTATTACACGCATTCAGGGCCACAGCTCACTGCCTGGCCCATTGATTTATGGCAATGATCAAGCATACCTTCAGGTTGTAACATCACTGCTTGACCAAGCCACCCAATCACATCAATTTTTCCGGCAAAACTAGAGAAACTTGTCTAAACAATTTCAATTTACCCAGAGGCTGGCTAAATAAATTATCCTGCAATGCTGAGATTGCCAGCTCACAGGCATGTCCCCTCCTTCAACAAGTGTTAACCCTAGAGGATTGGCACTTTATCAGTGATGGCAAACAGATGTTACACACATCCCTGAATTTGGAAAACTTAGATATGTACATGTCTCCATTGATACCAATTCTCATTTAATTAGTGTACATGCCCTTCCTGGAGAGTCTACTCGATTTGTCATTAAACATCTTCTTTTAACTTTTGCATTTATGGGGCAACCCATAAAAATTAAAACTAATAATGGTCTAGCTTACGCCAGCTCACAATTTCAACAATTTTGTCACACGTGGAACATCCAACATTCCACAGGCATCCCATATAATCCCCACGGACAGGCCATAATAGAACGTGCCCACTCCACCCTTAAAAATATGCTCAAAAAACAAAACAGGGGAGTATGGATAAGGACCTTGCAAAGCTATTGGCACAAGCCTTATTTACCCTTAATTTTTTAAATTTAGATGATAAATTTCAATCCACTGTAGAAAAGCGCTTTGCTAAAACCTCTCAAGACATAAAACTGCAGTTTTATGGAAAGATATAAACAGTAATGTATGGTGTAATCCAAGTGAATTGTTAACTTGGGGAAGAGGGTATGCTTGTGTTCACACCCCCTCAGGTCCTCTTTGGATTCCAGCACAATGCATCAAACCATACCATTACGTGGCTAGGACCCAACCTGGTACCAGAAATGAAGGAAGTGACCCTACAGGACTCACTGCCCTGGATGATGCGGCTTCCTCGGACGACACAAGCCCTGGACATTACCTGGGGGATGCTGAAGAAGGCAACTCAGGAGGCGGAATGAATCCTGCTCTGGACACAGACACCATTCACTCCAGATAATCTGTTCCTTGCTATGCTCTCTGTTGTACGTTGCAACTCATATAGGGTTGCTTTGTCTGCATATGCTCTTGCTTTGTCTGCAACCTATACCTGCTACACTCTATTGGGCTCATATCTTAGATCCACCTTTCTTTCACCCTGTCACCTGGGCAGACACCTCCTTCTCAGCCTTTAATAACGTAACTGCTTGGCTAGGAGGGATAGATTTACCCCCAGTGGGGTCCATCATTAATGGCACACATTAGACTAAGGTGCCAGGTAACACTACATATCATCCCACTATCCTCCCACTGTGTGTAAGTTATAAAGGGTCTAACCCTTACTGCGTACCTGCCCAAACACACTTATGGCTACATCATGACAAAGGAAATGTCTTAACATTCCTAGCTGCAGGTAGCCTCAAACCGGGCGATGCAATCAATGCCACTTTCCCAAACATTCCTTCCTGTGCTAAAGAACAAAGCTGGGAAAGTAATGGATTCCACTTTAGCTGGGAGGTCTGTCATGGGGAACAAGCCTATACCCTCCAGTTAGGCAACTGTAACATCTTAGACTGGAGGTCCCACAGCCATTTGCAGGGAAGCCTTACTGATGTCCTCATCCATCATGGCATCAATCACAGTTTTGTAGCCACATCCCATTCCCCTATGATTTGGGCCAATGTGGGGGTGGATATTTCCGACCCCAAGTAAAATCCATGCCACCCCAAGACACTCTGTGGTGCCTGGGACATCTTAGCACCTCCTTTGACACCTGGCATGGGACATACCATAATTCCAGTCACAACTATACTATAACCTTTATTCATAATCACACTGATCAGTGCCTGATTTGCACTACCCATCCATATGTTTTCTTTATAGGAACTAATATTTCTGTTATACCCTGAAACTCCACGTTTGTGACCCAGGTGCAGGGACAGACTTGGTTTGCCTCATGTATTACTAATTACAATATATAATTTAAATATTACTAGAGTCATGGTATTAAGGAGACAATCTGAGGCATTCCCACCAGTCAATTTGACATGCGATTGGCAAGGTTCCTCTGCCCTTGCCACCTTAGAACGTGCCCTGTCCCAGATCAGACCCAAAAGATTCATAGGCACATGTGTAGCCTTTATAGTCTCAGTCATAGTCATCCTAGTAACTTAACTGCTAGTGTGGCTGTAGCATCTATTACTGAATCAGGAAAAACAGCTGCTTTTGTAGATAATTTGGCCAGAAATGTTTCTAATGTACTTCTCTTACAGCAAGGTATAGATCAAAAGATTCTTGCACATCTGCAAGCCCTTGAGGCTGCCCTTGGAATATGTGGGGGAGCGACAAGATGCACTGGCATTCCAACAGCAGTTAAACTGTGACTGGGAGCATAAACATATCTGTGTCACTTCTCTACCGTGGAATCAATCAATACATAGTTGGGATGAGGTGAAACAACACCTCTGGGGAACCTTTCATGACAATTTAACAGCAGACATAAGGCAACTTAAAAATACAATTTTAGAATCCCTTCATACTGTAGATCTATCTACACACCCAACAAACAGCCATATGGAAGGGTGTGCAAGATCGTCTCTCCTGGATAGACCACCGCTCCTGGGCATCACTCCTTGAGTGGAAAAGAATGTTGCTAATTATACTCATGTTTGTCTTATGTTATTTACTAATTTTAGGATGCAAAGCCGGAATAAGAGCAATGACCACCATTGCTGACAGACCAGTTGTTGCACACACATGTACTCTCCAGCTAACAAGACTGAATGCAAAAAACAGAAAAGGGGGAGCTATAGGGGATCAGTCAGTGTGGTTGGAAAAATTGTAAGATGAAATTATAGGATATAGACACAAACCTTCTTGGGAGGCCAGAAGGTTTGCATAACTTCAGTAAAGGATTTTTCTGAAATCCTTTTTACCCCTAATCCCCTTTACCTTGAGTTGATAACAATAGAGCAGATAACATGGGAATGTGGGGGAGTTTATCTGAATACCTTGTTTACTCATGTGGTTCTAAGACCAACCTTTGATTATCCGCAGGTGCATGATTGCGCCTACTTGGGGGCGGGTCGGCAAAGTTAATTACCCACAGGTGTGTTGACTCAAAGCCTTTGTCATTAAGCCTGTGCTGAATAAATGCTGCCAGGGCCAGCTAGTCAAGGCCTGCAGTTGTCACAACTCTTTCTGTGCATGGCCTGGCCCCTTAGCTGCTCTGTCACTGAATATCGGTGTGAGTATGTTATTCATCTGCCATGCAGCTGGGGTCTGCAGGACAGATCCCTGCAGCTGGGGAAGGAGGCATGGGACTCTGGGAAAGGGAGGCAGTCACTTAGGCCTGGAACCAAGGGGCCAGGGGCCTGGAAAAGCAACAGAGCCACACAGTGACCTTGCTACCCCATTTATGGGCCAGCCACCACCTGCCCTCACGCCCAGGGTCTTTCTGCAGATGGAGCTGAAGAACCAGAAGGCTCGGTCTGCAGCAGCAGCAAGACCAGTACCTGAGTCACCTGCAGCAGTATGTGGCCACCTATCAGCAGCTGACCTCTGAGAAGGAGGGGCTGCACAACCAGTTACTGCTGTAGACCCAGTTCGTGGACCAGCTGCAGCAGCAGGAAGCTCAAAGCAAAGCAGTGGTCAAGATGGCCTGCCAAGAGTTGCGGGAGACCCAGGTGAGGGAGTTGCTCAGGGCAGAGCCCTGAGGGGAACGACCTGGCAACCTCTGTGCCTTCTCACTCTCTTTCTTGGCCCCTTAGGAGTGCCTGGAAGCTTTCAGCCAGCAGAATCAGCAGCCTCAGGCCCAGTTGAGCCTCATGGCTCTACCTGGGGAAGGTAGCGGAGACTACTCACAGAAAGAGAGCCCCAGGAGGAAGGGATAACTGTTAGCAGCATAGGATTGAGGAGTTGAACAGACTTTTAGAACAGCTGGTCATTATGCCAACCAGGTGTCCACACTAAGTTAGGCACCACTATGGTGACCTCCTGGGAGCAGGGGACCACCAGGTTGCCTAAGGATGGTGAACTGGTCCAGCTCAGAAATGGAGCAGGTCAGAACTCCCGTGCCTATTGGTAGTGGGACTGCACCTGGGCAACACGGCAAGATCTTGGCTCTTTAAAAAATAATGAGGCCAGGCACGGTGGCTCATGCCTGCAATCCCAGCACTTTGGGAGGCTGAGGCGGGTGGATCACGAGGTCAGGAGTTAAATCAAGACCAACCTGGCCAAGATGGTGAAACCCCGTCTCTACTAAAAATACAAAAATTAGCTGAGTGTGGTGGCAGGTGCCTGTAATCCCAGCCACTTGGGAGGCTGAGGCAGAGAATTGCTTGAACCCAGGAGGTGGAAGTTGCAGTGAACCGAGATCGCGCCACTGCACTCCAGCCTGGACAACAGAACGAGACTCCATTTCAAAATAAAGAGCTGCTCATTCCCTGCTAGGGAGGGACTGGCCCAGGGTTACACAGTGAGAGTGGGGGCAGAGGTGGGCCCACTCTACCCTTGTTGGGTTGTCTGAGGACCTCTCTGGCCACCCCCAATAGGAGATGGACTGGACAGTGAGGAGGAGGTGGAGGTGCCTCAGCCCATGCCGAGCATCCTGGAGGACCTAGAGAGCCAGAAGGCCATGGTGAGCCTGACTCCCCCTGCCCCACCTTTGCTGCCTCCCTCCGTGGTCCCTCCCAGACCCCCTTCTGCTCTTGGGTTCCTGGCCTTCTGATTTCTCTGGACCCTCACCCCTTCCCTGGGAGCCAGTGGTCGGACACCATTTCACCTGTGACTAACAGGTGCGTCGTCTGAGGCCCCCAAGGCAAAGACTGCTCTCCACCTCCCTGCCCTGTTTGTCCTGTGTATCCCCCTATAAGAATGCGTACCTCTTGCCTGCAGGGGGCATTTTTCAACTCAGCTGTAGCTAGTGCCCAGGAGGAGCAGGCACGGCTACGTGGGCAGCTGAAGGAGTGCACTGCCAGCGCATGGCTCATCTGCTGGCCTCGGCCCAGAAGGAACCTGAGGTGGCAGCCCCAGCCCCAGGAACTGGGGGCAATTCCATGTGTGGGGAGACCCACTGGGCCCTGCAGGCGGCCATGGAGAGGCTGTAGGTGAGTGAGTCCAGGCATGGACCAAAAAGGGTTGGGGGCAGGCAGGTCGCTGCCTTAATGTGACCCCATTATTTTGGCTCCAGAGCCGCTTTATGGAGCTCATGCAGGAGAAGGTGGACTTGAAGGAGATGGTGGAGGAACTGGAACATCGCTTCATCTAGCTGTCTGGAGAGACAGACATCATCGGGGAGTGGGAAGCCAGGGCACAGCAAGGAGAGCTGCACATCGGTCAGAGGGGCCCCAGCGTCTGAGCCCTGTCCTCCTGTAGGAGAGTACATCGCAGTGTACCAGAGCCAGAGGGCAGTGCTGAAGGAGCAGCACCAGGAGAAGGAGTGCATCGGCAGGCTGGCCCAGGACAAGGGACGAGATGAAGGTAGGGCGTGGAACATCTCTGCGGGGGTGGGGATGGGCTCAGGCACAGGCAGAGCAGCTGAGTACCCCTCCCTCCAGGTGAAGCTGCTGGAGCTTTTTGCTGCTTGTGAGCGACTGCAACGAGTAGCATGGAAGATCCCTGGCAGCTGCCCAGAACCCTGCTGATGAGCCCACTCCAGAGGTCCCAGCCCCCCAGCAGCTTGGGGCTGCTGACAAGCAGGGTAGTGAGTAAAGCCCTCAGGCAGGGTGGGCACACAGGAGGGCTCGCACAGCGCCCTGCCTCCCTCTCTCCAAAGATCTTTGCGAGGTGAGCCTTGCCAGCAGCGGGGAGCCTGTGCAAGGAGAGGCAGGGAAGGGTTCTCCCTGCGGTAACCCCACTGCGCAGCAGATCATACCGCTGCTTTATGGAGATGCAGAACCTCCAGGAGCACCCAAGCTTGGGCAGCAGCCCTTGCATTCCTTTTTTGTACCAGACTGCCGAGAATGATGAGGTGAAGATCACCATCATCTAAAAGCCGGCCACTGTCAGCAAAATCTGGAGAAGTGGGGCTGGAGGCTCTGCCTCTACTGTGCCCCTACCACCCCTTCCCAGTCAACCCTTTACCCTTACAGTAGCAAGCATAAGACCCCTGTCTAATGTGGAGAGACGGGTGGAGATGAGGTGAAGATCACCATAATCTAAAAGGCCACTAAATAAAATAAATTTTAAAAAGGTATGGGATTTTTAAAACATGTATGGGATTAAAGAAGTTATGAGATTTAAAATGTTATGGGATAAAAGTTATGAAAGTTATGAAAAGTTATGAAGCCGGACACGGTGGCTCATGCCTGTAATCCCAGCACTTTTGGAGGCTGAGGTGGGCGGATCACTTGAGGTCGGGGAGTTCGAGACCAGTCTGACCAACATGGAGACACCCTGTCTCTACTAAAAATACAAAATTAGCCGGACGTGTTGGTGCATGCCTGTAATCCCAGCTACTGGGGAGGCTGAGGCAGGAGAATCGCTTGAACCAGGGAGGCGGAGGTTGCAGTGAGCCAAGATTGTGCCGTTGCACTCCAGCCTGGTCAACAAGAGTGAAACTCCATCTCAAAAAAAAAAAAGGTATGAAAAAGGGCATAAAAAAGGATAAAAATGTTTTAAAAAAAACAAAAAAAAAAAAACCAGGCCACTGTCAGCAAAGCCTGGAGAAGTATGGGGCCAGAGGCTCTGTCCCCATCATGTCCCAGCCACCCATTCCCAGTCACCCATTCCCAGTCACCCCTGTACCCTTACAGTAGCAAAGTAAGACCCGTGTCTAATCAAGGGGAGGCAAACATGCAGACCCTTTCCCTCCTTGGCCAGAGCAGACTCCTTAAATTTCTGGATGATTATTGTTTTCAGAGTCAGGCTCATAGAATTGGCTTGTTTGGAGGAGGCCTGATGGCCTCCTTAACTCTCACCAAAGGAATTTTTTTCCTTAGGGGGGCTCCCATCTTCTTACTCAGAGAGGCAGCTGAGGCAGGACAATGGGGCTTAATGAAGACCAGGTGAGGGCACGGGCTCTGGGGTGGCCCCCCTTCCTCAGTGTACATACTGTAGCTGTGTAACATTTTGTATATTCCAGTGATAGGGCCACCTCCTGTATCATACATAGCAGAGGTTGGGGCTAGCATATGGGGAGGAGGTTCTAATAGTTATTTGGGGCTGGAAAACTTATTTATTGATAGCATAGGGGAAGGAGATAGATGGGTTTGTGGCACCGTGGTGATGTGACTCCTGTTTATTTTGCTTTTTATTTTGGAATGTATTTAGCCACATACTGCTTGGCCTGGTGTATTCCTGTTTCCCTCACTGGGTCATGAAATTTGTGCCACAGAATGGGGAGCCCCAAAGTGTCTGAGCATGTCCAGCTGGGGTATTGGGGACTTTCCAGGCCTGTTACCTGTATGCTGCCTGGTAACACCTGGGGAATTCCACAGGGACTGCCATAGCGCCTATGGGGGACCGTGGGGCCCTGACGGCCAACAGCCTCAGAAGCCTGATTTAGCAGTGGCAGGGAAGGCAGGTGCCAGCATCCAAGGGCACTGACTTCCATCCAGCCCAGGTGTCTTCCATTTTGTTCCCCTGGCTCCCTCGCCTGTCTGTGCCTGGATGACCCGTAGTGTCTCTCCAGGTTGCCAGCTGCCCTGCAGGCGCCCTCCAATCTGAGTTCATGGCTCTGCCCCCTAGTGGCCAGAGCCGGCTTCACAGGATGAGAGCCTGCTAAGCTCCAGAGGCTTTCCAGGACATGTGTCCCTTGGAAAGGATGTGGTCTTTTCACCGCTCCCAATAGCACCCTAGTAGTGGGTTGGCCCTTCCCTCCCCTGAGCTCCACAGAGAACACAACCAGCAGAGGACACATTCTCCGTCACCTAGCAATGGGTTTTATTCCCAGCCAAGGGACAGCAGGACTGGTAGAGACTGTCAGGCCACACAGCTGTCTGCACAGCACCTCCATGCTTGTCGGGGGGCAGGAGGGATGGTGGGGGCTGGCTGTCCACAGGCCAGGCATGACAGGGAGGCTCACTGGAGGTGGTGGACTTTGGATGGTGATTGTTGGGGGACAGTGTTCTCTTGTAGTTGGACCACAAGACTCCACAAGGACAGTACGGTGACTGATTCCCAGCGCTAGAGGCGAGGCAGTCAGCCACGTGTAGGGGTGTATACATATATATGAGTATTCAGAGAACAGGGCAGGGGCATATGACAGAGGGGGCACAAGTTTTCCCCAACAGTCATGCCTGGATGTGTCAACTCACCACTACAGATGAAGGGGGCTGGTTTTGGGGCTAGGGGAGCCACTGTCAAGTCACAGAACAGTCGTCCAGGCAGTCTTGGAAAGGAAGGTCTCAGAGAAGAGGAGGGATCTGTTTAGAGGTGGAAGAGGGCCCTGGGGCTCTCAGGGTGGGATGGACTTACCTGACCCCATTGGCTGGCAGTTGGAGAGAGAGAGAGTAAATGGAAGAGAGAAAAGCGAGGCGAGAGCTGGTAAGGCAAGCGCAGCGTGCTGCAGCAGTGGTGGGAGGGCCAGGGAGGGGAGGACACAAGTGCGGATGTGGCAAGATTCCTGGAAAAGAGGGGCTAGAAGGGAAAGGGGAGGAAGATAGAGGGAGGAGCCGCAGCTTCACAGGTAATACCTGGCGGTGGCCTCTCACACGGCACCTAGGCTAATGCACCCACAGTTCAAACTGATACTCAGCCCCCTCGGGCTTCCCACTTGTCACCCTGTCTTTTAACCCACTGGCCCAGGGCCACTCCTGGCTTTGGGGAGCCCTACACAACAGCCAGCAGGCCTGACAAAGAACATTGCTTGAACCAGGAGGATGAAGCTAAAAGGGATGCATGGCTGGAGGGAGTGACCGAGTCCCCTCTAGGCGGTCAGAAAGCCCAGGACCCTGTGAAGGGACCCTGGGGGAAGTGGGGAGGGCAGGCAGCCGGATGCCAGTGGCCATAGATTTACAAGTCTAAGAGGGGAGCCTCAGCTGGTTGGGGGGCTACAAGTCGCATAGGTGAGGCTGGGCCCTTCCTGCTGGAAAAAGAAGAGCGAGAGCAGCAGGGGAAGCCTGGCTAGAGCTCAGCCAGACCAGTAGGCACTGTCATCCCCTTGGCTAAATAGCATAGGCGACCCCTAAGAGCAACAGGCCAAGGTGCCTGAGCCCACTGACTGGCTATGGTCCTTCAGCTGGGGCCAGGGACACTGCCTTCAGTCACACGCTAGCAGGTATGAAGGTACCTGGGAGGGAGGCAAGACCCTACACTAGCAGGTATGATGGTACCCAGGAGGGAGGCAAGAGAAGAAAAAAGACCCAGCTCGGTGGCTCACGCCTGCAATCCCAACACTTCGGGAGGCTTAGGCGGGTGGATCACCTGAGGTCAGGAGTTCAAGACCAGCCTGGGCAACATGGTGAAACTCCGTCTCTACTAAAAACACAAAAATTAGCTGGGCACGGTGGCACATGCCTGTAATCCCAGCTACTTGGGAAGCTGAGGCAGGATAATCACTTGAACCTGGGAGGCAGAGGTTGCAGTGAGCCGAGATCGTGCCATTGTACTCCAGCCTGGGCGACAAGGGTGAAACTCTGTCTCAAAATTTAAAAAAAATTAATAAATCTTAAAAAAATTAGCCAGGTGTGGTGGTGCACACCTGGGGTTCCAGCTATTTAGAAGGCTGAGGTGGGAGGATTGCTTGAGCCCAGGAGGGTGAGGCTGCAGTGAGCCATGATTGTGCCACTGCGCTCCAGCCTGGGCAACAGAGCAAGAGCCTGCCTAAAAATAAATTTAAAAAATTTTAAAAAATGAGAAAGATGGGAGGAGGGCGATTGCATTTGATTTTTTCTAAACTTTAATTGAAATTTAGCTTTTCCTTCCATGGTGAATGTCGCTAGGAACAAACCTCATTAGTGTTAGCAGCACCTGTTACTTTGTTACTAACAGAAATCACAGATATTCTCATATTACACTGCAGCTGTTGCAGACATCTTGAGATAGCATTTTTGCTCATCATTACCTCGAAATTATAGTAATTAGACCCAACTTTGGATCTTGTTCTTCAATGTGCCAATAAAGCATATCATGTAATATCACAAATATTTTCATAAACTTTATTTTGATATAATTTATTTCCATTGCTCTCTGTATTTTGTACACTTAAAAAAAAAAATCTATTCCGAGCAGTCCATAGGCTTCCTCAGATACCAAAGAAGTCCATGGCACAAAAAGGCTAACGATGCTGGGGTCTAACCCAGAGTAGGTTTGCTGCCAAAGTGAGGTCCTGGAAGCATTCAAATGCAAAGAAATGTGTTTCTGTGATTTTCCATGAGACACTCTCTCTCCACCTCCCTTTCGGGTAGGATACTTTTATGGGCAGAACCTGGTCATTTTCCTAAGAAGACGAAGGCTTTGTGTACAAAAAGGGGTAGAGCCCAGAATGGCTATGGGCCAGAGGTGAAGATTCCAAAGTCAGACAAATAAAGGGGGTATCTCTTTATACTCAGTAGAAATGTGGGGCTGAGGCGGGGCAAGGCCCAGGTGAGCTCCATGAAGAAGGGTTGGGGTAGGAAGGTAGAGGGACAACTCTGGGAATTGGAGGTTGCAATGAGAAGAGATTGTGCCACAAAACTCCAGCCTGGGTGACAGAGCGAGACCCTGTCTCAAACAAAGAGACTTCCCGAGAGTTGTTCTGTTATTTACAACATTTTACAAAACAATGTAGGTAAAGAATAAGGCTAATCTATATCAGAGAAACAAAGGCTACAGCTGCCTAGGTTGTAACTGCCTGTTTTTTGTTTTGTTTTGTTTTGTTTTTGATTCAGGTGCTACAATCACATTCCTTTAAGGCTGAGAATATTTTAAAGTTCCAACAATTCATATTTGGAGTTATTTTCTTTTTCTTTTTTAAAAAATTGAGACAGGGTCTTTCTCTGATGCCCAGGCTGAATTGCAGTGGCATGATCTCAACTCACTGAGGCCTGTGAGATCAAGTGATCCTCCTGCCTCAGCCTCCCCAGTCGTTGGGACCTCAGGTATGAGCCACCACACCTAACTAATTTTTTTTTATTGTTTGTAGAGACTAGGTTTCACCATGTTGCCCAGGCTGGTCTTCAACTCCTGAGCTCAAGCAATCCTCCCACCTCAGCCTCTCAAAGAGGTGGGATTACAGGCATGAGCCACTATGTACAGCCAGAGTTAATTAT